CATGTGCCAGCCTCACATTTGCTAAATTAGCCAGAACAAGTCACAGGGCATCCCAGATTCAAGGAACAGAGAAATAGACATATCTATGGGAGGGACAGTCTGTGGCCTTTTTTTGCAATCTATTGCAGACAATCATAATGAGGAACCAATAAAAAGAGTGAGAGTTTTGTTTTTAGTACAGTTTATATTTGATTGGAATGCAGGGAAGAACGTATACTCTGAAAATGGAATTAAAAAAAATGTTTCCTAGGAAGAGTGAAATCTTGTGTTAACTTCAGCCTTCCAGTTATTCACTCAAAACCATGGCTCTATCTTCAAAATAAATAGAGGCCAGAATCCTTGTCTTCTTCTCATTGCCTAAACTGGTGACACTGAGCCCCTGTTGGTTTCTGTAGTCCTCACCTGGACAGCAGTAGCCTTAGGAACGGGTCCTTCCCACAGTTGTGCTCCCCAGCTGGGGCCATGCTTTAAAAATGGAGATGGGACACAGTTATGAGAGGGACTTGAACTAACAGATGCACTCAGTGTAACCTGGTTCTCTGTATCCTCAGTGAATCTCCAACAATTAAAAAAAAAATGGGTCCAATCTTGATTATCTGCTGCTCTAAGCCCTCAAGGGACTGCTCCCTGAGTCCCTGCAGTGCCTCAGGCTCCACCTAGCCTGGCTTCTCTCCTCCCACCTGCTGTAACGTAGCTGCTAAACCCTCCCCTTATTTGCTCCAGCCTCGAGGGCCTTCTGGTTATTCCCTGACCCTGCCAAGCACGCTTGGCTGCGGGGACTTCACACTGTTCAATTCCTCTGTCTGGGACAGGCCTCCCCCAAGTCCTCCGTATGGCTTGTTTCCGTACCCCGAGTTTCCGTATGACGTGTGTCCGCACCTTTCTGAACTTTTCTCAGATGTTACCTTGTCAGCAGGGGCTTTGCTGACTTCCTAGTCAGCCGCCTGCCACCCTTTTTGGCTTCCCCATCTGCCTTCCTCTCGTTTTTGTCGATTACGTTTATAGAATCCCACGTCCTGCCAGAACATAAACTTCCCCGGGCAGGGATTTTTGTCTGTTGTGTTCTCTTCTGTATCCTCATGGCCTAGAATACTCCTGGACATACAGACATTCTGTTTAGTACTTCTTCACAGTGAATGAACAGTATCTACAGAGCTGTGAGGATTCAGTTAGGTCAGGGGTCCACCGTTTATAGCTTGCTGCCTGTTTTTAAAATAAAGTTTTCCCGGACACAACCATACCCATTCATTTATGTGTTGTCTGCGGCTGCCTTTGCTCTGTGACAGCAGAGCTGAGCAGTTTCAAGGGAGGCCTGCATAGCTTAGAATATTTACTATGTGTGCTCGGCACCTGTAGCTCAGTGGTTAGAGCTCCGGCCACATGCACCAGGGCCAGTGGGTTCAAACCCAGCCAGGGTCTGCTGAACAACAACAACAACAACAAATAGCCGGGTGTTGTGGTGGGCACCTGTAGTCCCAGCTCCTTGGGAGGCTGAGGTAAGAGAATCCCATAGGCCCAAGAGCTGGAGGTTACTATCAAGAGGACAGTGTGTAATGCCTAAAAAGCGATACTACTTTGCATAGTTATGATCTGCTCTGTGATTTTTTATGTTACCAAACTGAAACTTTTTCTTTGTTTTTGCTGTGCATTCTGCCATCGTTTGAGCTGATAAGTAACTCTGCTAGAGCTGCCTGGGTCAGTTATCCATTTGTAATCCTGATTCATGCTCCACACTGCCTTCTTCCTATTTTTTAAATAAATGTTATTTAAAGCTACCCTTAAACATAATTTGTAATATCCTAAAACTTAAGTGTCATGATAACTCATTGTTTCTCTCTTTTTTTAATATTCCAGGGAATAATAAATCACAAAGAGAGGAGCTGGACTCCATCCTCTTTCTTTTTGAAGTAAGTTTTGGCTGATTTAACTTTACTATTCTTTTTGAAAATAAGGTATTTTGGATTTTGCTTTTACTTGAAGACATAAAAATGGGCATGTATTAATATCTATGAACATGTATTAATATTCCCTTCCTTTCTTCCTTCATTCTTTGCTTCTTTCTTTCCTTCCTTCTTTCCACTTTTACAAATAATCCTTCAAAGAATTTTCCTGTGACTTTTTTTTTTTCCCACATGTGTGAGAATTTTTCCTCTTTGGGCACCTATATGTGAAATTATTAGCTATAACAGCATGCACATTAAAAAAAACTAGTAGATTTTGCTAAATTGTTCTACAAAAATGTCATACAAACTTAAATGTAACTCTTACATAAATTTTTTTATACATTAACATTGGAGATTGTCTTTTTAATATATGTAAATCTGACATGCAGAAACTCATAACTTGTAATAATATAGGGTGTTCCAAAAGTTGCCCTCCACAGGGAAAGTGGGAGTAGCTACATGTACTTCTATTTACAAAATATTCATTACAAAATTTTACTAAATATTTACAAAACATTCTCTATATGTCGGTCACCTCTTTCTACACACATACGTATACACACGCATACACACATATACACGAAGTCTTCTGTCCCACTCGATGGCAAACACGGGCCAAGGTGTCTGTTGTTACATGAGTGTGTGTTTTTTTTCTTTTTTTTTTGAGACAGAGCCTCAAGCTGTCCCCTGGGTAGAGTGCCGTGGCATTACAGCTCACAGCAACCTCCAACTCCTGGGCTCACGTGAGTCTCCTGCCTC